GCGGGGCGGCAGCTAAGGGCTCCTCCCTGAGTTCACCTCAGCAAAGCTCTGCTTTGTCTACTGCTGTCTCCGGGCTATCTGACTGCAGTTGCTTGGTGTGCTGCTCTTTAGAATTTCAGGATTTGATTTATATTTGATTATAATGCAAGTCATCCACAAGGCACACCCTTTCTAGGGCACTTACATATTTAAGTTATTTTTCTTTGTGCATATTTGTAATACAGAATACTGGTATTTGTTTTGAGGAGTTGGCATAGGACCTTTTTGGCTTTCCTTCCCTTCCTTTCCCTTCCCCTTGTCTCCCCATCCCCCCTTCTTCCCTCCCTCCCTCCCTCCCTCCATCCCTCCCTTGCTCCTTCCTTCCTTCCTTCCTTCCTTCCTTCCTTCCTTCCTTCCTTCCTTCCTTCCTTCTTTCCACTGGGAATTGAACAAAGGGCCTTCACACTGAGCTACATTCCCAGCCCCTTTTTTAAAATTTGGGAGTAAGACAAGTTTTCATTTAATTGTCCAAGCTGGACTTAAACTTGCAATCCTCCTGCTTCAGCTTCCCAGAGTGCTGGCATTACAGGTGTGCATTACCATGTCTGAGCAGATGACATATCGTGATCATTTTCAATCATTTTACTCTAGGGGATCTTTAAATTCTTGTTATGTTTAGTAGATATACTCTGCAACTATTCTATTTCTTTGGTTTTCCTATTCACCTTTTTCTATTTTTTTTGTTGCTCTTTACAGTAAGTATATGTCTTTTTTCTTTTTTTGGTAGCAACTCAACCCACCCTGGGAGCGGGGCCTGCATGGCATGTGATGCTGGGGATCAAACCGTGGTCCCTGCATTTGCCTAAGCTTGCTTAAGTAGGCGCTTTAGTCTTCTGGGCTATCTTGCCGGCCCCATATGTCTTCTTTTAAATTTACTTTCTTTTAAAAATTTTTTATTGGTACATTTTAGTATATATAATAACATCATAAGGAATTAAAAAATAATATAATTGGTGCACTTTAGATATATATAATTACATGCATCATTTTGGAATGATGCACCCCACCTTTCCCCTATTTCCTTCCCCTTCTCTCAATCCCTTTCTTCCTCTTTATTTTCCAAGCTTTGTTTCATTTTTTCCCTCCTGTTATTGTTTTTCCTTGGCCTTTCCTTACTTTCCCCTTCACCATCTCTTTTTCCCCTTCTCATTTGAACATTTTCTTCCCATTTCCCAATATCTATTATATGTGTTGGTCCTTATTTACCCCTTTGGTTTCTCTTAATAGAGAATGTGGTATTTGAACATGTGTGTCCAATTTATTGCACTTGAGAGTATGGCCTAAAGGTGCATCCAGTTACCTAGAAATGTCTCAAGCTTATCTTTATGGCAGAGTGCTATTCTATTGCATTAAAAAGTTACATCTTCTTTGTCTACTCATTGGCTGGTGGACATTTGGGCTATTTCCAAGATCTAGTTATTACAAACGGTGCTGCTGTAAACATGGGTATGCATATATCACCGGAGTATGATACTTTAATTCTTTTGGGAAGATACCAAGAAGGGAAATAGCTGGGTCAAATATGACCTCCAATCCTGTTTTTTAATTTTTTGTTTTTTAGAGATCTCCACACTGATTTCCACAGTGGTTGCACCAGTCTACGCTCCCATAAACAGTGGAGAAAGGTTCTTCTTTTTTTTTTTTTTTTGCCATACCGGGAATTGAACTCAGGACCTTGTGCTTGCCAGGAAAGCACCTATTTTTTTTTTTTTTTTTTTGCCACAGCCACTCCATTTTTTTTTTTTTTTTTGCCACAGCCACTCCAGCATTTGGTATTAGTTGATTTCTTTTATTTTTTTTATTTTAGGGAAGGGTCTACCAGGCATACAGAGTCTCACTACTAGAATGGACTCAGAGTGATCTGCTTGTTTACAGCCTCCCAAGAGCTGGGATCATAAGCAAGTGCCACTGCACACAGTCTTACTTGCCATCTCAGCAGGCCCCAGGGGAAGGGATGGCACAACAGGCCTGGGGATCGAACCCCAGGTCCCTGAGCCTGCTTGTAGGCACTTTAATCGCTGGGCTATTTGGCCAGCCCCTGATTTCTTGATAATAGCTATTCTTTCTGGGTTGTCTTAATTTACATCTCTCAAATAACAACAATGTCAAACATTTATTTATTTATGTATTTATGTATTTAGTGCAGGGTCTACAGGGTCTCACTACACAGATAAGACTCCTAGTGATCTTTCCTGTTTTTTAGCCTCCCAAGTGCTGAGATTACAGGTGTGTGCCACCACATCTAGTCTCAATTGCTGTCTCAGCGTGCCCTGGGGGTGGGGCCAGCACAGGCAGGCTGAGGATTGAACCCCTGGCCCCTGCATCTTCCTAAGCAGGTACTTTAATCTGTTGAGCTATCTGGCTGACCCTCATTTTTTCATATATTTATTTGCTATATTTCTTCATCTGAGAAGTACATATCCATCTCAAATACCCATGTCTGGAATGGGTCTTTAAATTTTGGGGGGTCTGACTTAATTGAATTCTTTATATATTCTAGATAGTAGTCCTTCCTCTGAGGACAGAAATTTTTTCCCATACTGTGAGTTGTCTCTTCACTGTGTTAGTGGCTTCTCTTGCTGTGCAAAAGCTTTTTAATAAAATGAGATCCCATTTGTTGATTTTTGGTGATAGTTCCTGTGTGATTGGAATTTTGTTCATAAAGTCTTTGCCTACACCAGTGTCTGCAAGAATTCTACCTATTCTATCTTCTAGCAGATTTAGTGCTTCTGTTTTAATATTTATGTCTCTGATCTACTTTTATTTAAGTGCATGGTGCGAGATATGGGTGTAATTTTGATCTTCATCATGTAGAAAGCCAGTCTTTCCAGACCTGTTTATTAGATAGACTTTCTTTCTTCCAGTCAAAGTGTTTGGTCCCTTTGTCACATTGGCTAAAGTACTGCAATAACAATAGCATCAAACACAGCCCGGAAAATAATGAATTGTGTTAACTGTTAATTTGCCACCTTTAACCATATGAAGATTTGTAGTTATATTGTAAAATCTAAAATCAATAGAAAGTTGTATAATAGTAACTATGCCCTCAATATGGCAATTTTACCTTCAGGGAAGAAAATTTGGTGAAGGTTAGGGGGAAAATAGAAAAATAAAAGGAGAAGATATTTGAAGCAAGGCTAGAGGACAAAGGAAGATTGAGCAAACTTTGGCAAGCCCATGAAGAAGTCAGGCAGGAAGGAAGAAATAAAAGCAAGAACACAACAGAACAACAACAAAACTAGAAAATGATGTTCATATTATATAAAAACAACAATCAACAAGAAAAAGCAAAGAAGACCAAAACAAAACAAATCAAAAACAAAAACAAGAAACAAAGTGATGTCCATGTCAAGGCATGTCCCTTCTGTCCCTGGTAGACAAAATGGGCAGAGTCCAGACCTGAGTTGACTAATCCCAGCTAGCCAGCTGTGACTTTGTGGTGAGGTGGTGGATAGTCCCAGAAAGCCCGCACCTTCAGCTCCACTGAAGTTCAGGCTGGTTTCTGGCTGTGAGGCTGGAGCCCAATTTGTTCGGACCACTGTGCTCTATGTGTCTCTTGCTGGCTTGAACTCAGCTCCTTGTTTTCTTTTTTGCATTGTAGTAAGGGCCTATGGGGTCTACAGGGTCTCTGCATAGATCAGATTCATAGTGATCCCCCTGTCTTCAGCCTTCCAAGAGCTGGGATTACAGGAGTGCACCACTTCAGCGTGTCCCAGGTTCGGGGCTGGCACAGCATGCTGGGGATTGAACCCCTGCTGCCTCATCTGCCTAAGCAGGTGCTTTAATCTGTTGAGCTATTTGGCTGGCCACCTTAGCTCCTTCTTCTCTTTCTCATATTGCTGTGTACCAGTGTCTGGACAACAGATCTCAGTGAGCCTGTTTCTCTGCTTTTCATGGTTCCACTATCTTTCTGGAAGTCTCTGATCTCTCTCTCTCTCTCTCTCTCTCTCTCTCTCTCTCTCTCTCTCTCTCTCTTCTCTCTCCCTCCCTCCCTCCCTCCCTTCTTCCCTCCCCCCTCCCATCTCCTAGGAATTGAATTATTGAATTTAGAGCTTTCACAGTGAGCTACATTTCTAGCTCCACCCCCACTTTTCTTTCCAAATTTGAGACATAGAATTGCTAAGTCAGTAAGGTGCCCATGGCTGGGCTTGAATTTACAATCCTCCTGACTCAGCCACCTAGCATGCTGGAATTATAGGTAGGTGCCACCATGTCCAACTGGTGATCACTGCAGAGAGATTAGCAGTAACTAAACTGCTGGTTTTCAGTGTGCTGAGCTTTTAGTATGCTCACTTGATTACGTGTGTGTTGTCTCTCTGGCACTTGCACAGTTGTGACTATAAAGTTCATAGTAGGACCGTTAGATGTCTTTTATAAATATACCTCTTTTAGGCAGGTGCACTGGGGGACACCTGTAATGTTAGCACTAATAGTAGGTGGCTGAGGCAAGAGGATTTCAAGTTTGAGACCAGTATAGGCAACTTGGCAAGACCTTGTTTCCAAATAAAAAATAAAAAAAGGCTGGGTATATAGCTCTGTTCAAAGGCACTGTGTTTATTCTCTTGCTGTCTGTGTCTTTCTTTATTTGTGGGTCTCTGTTTCTCTGTCTCTGTCTGTGTCTCTCTTTCTCTATTTATCCCCCCTTAATTTAAAGTAAAGAAAATAAATATCCAAGGGGCTTTCTTGGGGCAGGCAAAATCATAATAACAATACATAACATGGATGAAGTTCAAATCCAGTAAATCTTTTCTTTTACTCTTTTTATTTGAATTTTTCTGCTTCTCTGTAAAAGAATCAGAAACACTTAGAATTGAAAATTACTAGGGCCAGCCAGATAGCTCAATGGACTAAGCACCTGCTTAGCAAGCGCAGGGACTCGAGTTCCATTCCCGGCACCACATGACATGCTGGCCCTGACCCTGGGTGTGCTGAGTTGGCCACAAGACTGGGCATGGTAATGCATGCCTGTAATCCCAGCATTGATGAGGCTGAAAACAGGAGGATCACTATGAGTCTAAGCTGTGTAGTGAGACCCTGTACCAAATACAT